GTTCAGCGTTCACTAGCTTTGCTAAAGAGGCGTCTGGTTAAGTTAAATAGAAATTCTAGCATACGTGTGTGTCAGCAGAGTCTGCCTAAAGCTCTGTGGCGCTGCAGGGGTGCTGAAAGGCGTACCCTGGCACTCCGTCCTCTGCTGCCATCAGGTTCTTGATGGTGAGTGGTACGGACAGTTGCTGTAAGCAGCCCGACTTCAGTCTGGCTCTGAAGAAGTTCCACGCTGATTAATGTATGAGCATTCCCTATAAGGTGTCAACATCCCTGCTCGCTCGCTGACTGCTTCCGCAGGTCCTTCCTTACGCCAGAGCTCTGTCTCTGTCGGCGTTGCGTTCTACTTTCACCTGCAGCCTCTTCAGTTTTAGCAGGCTTTGCAAACCAGACCGTGTTGCTTCTTAGATGATTCTTTCTCTTTAAACTTCGGGTCTGTATTGCAGTATTCTTTCTTAAATGCTGATGTGGTTCCCTGCAGAATGGCTTAGACCTAAAAGCATGTGTAGTTTCCCTTGCACTCCTTATTCCAGCTCATGAACAACATCTTCCAAAATGAGTAGTGCCCAAAACGTTAAATTACTCTTCCATTGAATTTCTCTGCCATGGAAGATGTGGTGGTTCTAGCTGAAAAAAGTCATTCTAATTGGTTATGAAACATACAGAAATAATTTCTTTTAAAGACAGTTTTTCCAAGGAAACTTCTGGGAGGAGCTATTTAATTGTTCACTTGGTAAGCTCTTGTGAATGTTGCTTTCTAGTTTTTAAGCAGTAATTAAGCTGCAGGCATTTCAGAGTATCCTGATTAAAGTTGTTCCCACCCCCCCACCCCTGAAACTGCTACTAAACAAAAGATCCTGAGTAGGTAAAACTTTTTTTTTCCTCCGCCTGGGTTTCTTCTCTTGTGATATTTACACATTCTTTTTGCTGTCTCTGAAAGGCTCTTGCTCTCCCCAAAGGCGACTAGGCAGAGCAGGGCTTGTGTCTTCCCTGCTGGCAGTAAAAGAGGGTTCTTCTGGGGGAGAGAAAATCAGCAGAGATAAAGTGCTCGAATCTGAGGAGAGACTGACATTATTATTTCGGCCATTCCTGAAACAACTATGCCGGTGTTCTTCACTTATGGACTGGTAAAGTAATTAAAAATGTTCAGATTAGGCCTCCTTCTGATTGACTCACTGTTACGTTTTGTTTCAGGCTTTTTTCTGTCTTTTGTATTTTACCAAAGTTACTGAGCAGTGGGATTTTTGTTGGGGTATGTTGTTCGGTTTTTGCAGAAATCTGTCAAAATACTCTTTACTTTTGGTGTCTACTCATGTGTCTTCCGTGTCAGATGAAGGGGTCTATAGGAAAAGCAACAACACAGGTTTGAGTAACTGAGAGCTTACCAGGATATTAAAAACGCAAGGAGCTCGATGGTGGGGGGACACCGCGAGGCTCCTGATGCTGGAGCTCTTTATGGAGTTCATCTCTCGCTGTTCCTGCACCATTCCCCGTGCGGCGAAGCAGCAGCTGCTCCTCTCGCTCGTCCCTTCAGTCGTTTCCCTCTGGCGCTCGCAAGTGGTTTTCCTTGCTGCCTTTTATCATGGCGGTTCTGTGCTGTTTGGTAAACTAAGAAATTCCACTGAATAGTTTGATGTAGTTATCCATATAATAGAATTTATGATACTTCATCTAAAGTCATTGTAGAAATACCTTCCATTATTGAATTTTACTGTAACTGCGCATAATTAATCTCTTCTCTCCTCTTACTTGGCTCAGTTTATATTTTGAATTGTCAGCTTAATGGGGCATTTTTCTGCTCTTACCGGTATGAAATCTTAAGTAGGTTGGGAGTAAAGACAATTTCCAAAGGCTTTGGACATACATAATCTAAATGTAATAACTGTGTACAAAGAAGAATGTGGAGAAACCTGTCAGCTTGTGTTTTGCATCATGAAGTTTTTGAATTGTCAGTATGAAAATAAGTTCACTTTTATGAAATCAACAGAATATGAAGACAGATTCAGTAATGGCTATTCTAGAGTGATTTATGGTGCCTCCGTAGTACTGGGTGTTCTTAAATGCAATTCCTGTTGTGGTTTTTTCAAGTAACAGCTGTTGGGCATTGGCACTGTGCCCAAATGCCGGAGGCAACTGAAAGCATTGTGTGGCTTTTGGATCCATAGACTTATTTCTGTCTTTTGGTACCGAAATTGGTTCACTTGCACTGTAACCCGGGCAGTATACGTTGTTTTCCTTGGGTGAAAAATAGGATTAATGTGAACTCCGGAAAGCATTTCACTCTTATTGTGGAGATGAAGGTTATTCAGGGATTTGGAACTGATGTAAGTTTTGAGTCCTGCTCAGTTGATTAAAATTAAATAGCAGAAATAATTGGCTTCACTGCGTATCTAATTATAAAATACATTTGACAATGCATTTCATAATTCATTACTTCTAGTAATATCTTTCAGTACTTGTTTTCTTGTGTCTCTTCAAGTATCTTCTGAGGTTTGAACACCCTAACACGACTCTGTTGTGAATTCATTTGCTTGCTCATCTTTAGCGTGACACAGTGGATCACTTAAAATAGCCAAGAAAGGTATTTTACATTTGAAACCTTAATTAGCATTTCACATTCTTAATTACTTTATAGTGTACCGTTCGCTATGTAGGACACTTGTAAAATTGATAATTGCTTCTTAAAAAAGCTGTTAGTCTTCATATGTCCTGTTGCAGTCGTCTTAATTTCTAATGGAATAATTTAAGTGGTTTACTGATGCCTTTGTCTTTTTCTCAACAGTTTTCAAAATCTTGTTAATGTGATGGCGTCAACTGGTAAAAAGGCATTTGGATTACATCATGGGTATCGGCAGTGGTGACTGATACCATTCGAGTGGCGCAGTAAGAGTCTGCTGTATGACATGTCAGGAGTTTATATTTCTTCTAGTTTTGCAATGGTAAGTTTTTTTTACCTTTCTTGCTAAGTGAATAATAACTTTTTCACTTTTCCGATAAGGTGTATTTCTTTAGAGAGTAACATCCACCAAATCAGTAAAGATTTCTGTCTTACATATGGTTTCTAACGTCGGTGGAGCTCAGCCGTAGTTCCTCACCAGAGTGTGCGCTGGCATTGGGTTGTTCCTTGGAAAGGGCTGGGGTGGAGGTTAGCTCGGCCGCAGCCCTGTGCCTGCGTCCCCGGGAGCACAAGCAGCGCCTTGCCAGGCAGCGGGAGGGCTGTGGCAGCGCAGGTACAGCGCAGCTTGGAGAACATTGAAACTTGCGCTTTGTTCCTGTGTTCGCTTCGCTACACAAGACGATGTGCTGCCTTACACAGTTGTGCCTAGAACTGCACCACGCAGTACTTCGGGGTACGTTACTTTCATTAGGAAATGCTGCTTGCATTACAGGCAGCATAGTAATTACTGTTAATTGTCAAACAGAATCGTATGCTTAAGAGGTGTACTGGTGGTGTCCTGTGCTCTCTTTTCTGCTCTAGCACCATCTGACACCTAAGTAGTGTACTCCCCCCCCCACCTCCCCACCTCTGCTGAAGATGAAAAACACGTATTGAAGCAGTTTTCCACCATTTGTCATATTCAGCCTTTCTAATTCATGTGTAAAAGGTTGATTCCATATTTAAAATTTTAAGTCTTCACATCATATGTCAGTTGAACAGGTTTGTATAATCTGGAATTTGGGTAGGTAGAAAAGGGAGGGTATGCCATTAGGTACAAGTGTGAATCTATTCATTATCATGGATATTGTGACAGGTTTGTGGTGATATGCAGTTTGACACATTGAATTTTCAAAGATTAAATGAATAGAAGGATAAGACTGAGCTGATGTCTGTTAAAAATGTTATTTTGAGACAGGGCAAGTCAAGTACTCCTACAGTTCACCATGAAATCTGAAATACAGACACTCTCAAACTGGATGTCTTAAACTTAGCTTTGAGTCCGAATTTACTTAAATCTGATGTAGGTGATGATTCATCTCACCAACTGTATGAAAAGTTTAGAAGTGGAGAAGGCTTGGGAAACAGCCTCCTCATACCGCAGAGGAGATGGCTGAGAAGATAGAGCCAGGCTTTTTGTGGACTTAAAGGATGCAAAAATAGGGAAGCCCCCACCTGGGTGTAAGAAAAGGTATTTTCACTGTAAGGACAATTATACACTGGAACAGGTTGCCCAGAGAGGTTGTGGAATATCTGTACTTGGAGGTCCTCAAGACCCAGCTGGACAGTGTCCCATGTAACTAAATTGGAATGTGGTCTTGGTGTTCGTTCGGGCAGGAGGTTGGGCTAGGCTACCTCCCAAAGTCCTTTCCAACTTGAATGGTGTTATGATTCCGATTCAGGCATTTTGCTTCATTTTGTTTTTGCTATTAATGACTGTAACTGTTTTTTACTGGTGTGATCTATTTGTTTGTTTAATCCCCTGTTAAATTAGAATTGCAATTCTGTTTCGTTATTTATGAGTGATTTGGTTTTGTTTTAAGCAGCCAGTGAGCAAGCAAATACGATTTTAATGGTTTCTGTCTTAGTATGTGAAACCATGTAACTGGAAAATGTGAGTTAATAAGAATGTGATTTGATACCTCTCATTCGACCAGACAAATAATGATACCAGTATTTTATATCATATCTACAGTACATAAAAGTGGTGTATTTTAGTAACTGGAGCCTAACGGGAACGTTCCGGCCTTATGTAAGGCATAAATGTGAACAACGCTGACACACCAGTACTAAAGCCAGGACAACCACAAATACGAAGTCAGCTCCTTTGTAGCTGAGATGGAAAAATCTTTCGGTGCCCTGAAGAAATACACAGAAAGAAGTGGTTTTAATATATTGCATAGGCGTGTTCAGTTTTACAGTAGGTACATTTGTGACAATACATCCTTTAGATCTGCTATGTCCGTAGGTGTGTTTTAAATATTTTTCTTGACTGTTTTGTTTACCTTTTTTTGAAGGTTTCCCAGTGAGTGGATCACGATGAACATACTTTAGGGACTTGCCATAGTATGGCTGCTTCTCGATCTACTCGTGTTACAAGATCTACAGTGGGTTTAAATGGTTTGGATGAAAACTTTTGTGGTAGAACATTAAGAAACCGTAGTATTGCTCATCCAGAGGAAGCTTCGCCCCATCCTCAGATACGATCAAGGTCACCAAAGAAGAGGCCAGAGTCTGTGCAAACTCAGAAGGGAAGTAACGGTGGAAGAACTACTGATTTGAAACAACAGAGTGCTCGGGAATCATGGGTGAGCCCTAGAAAGAGAGGGCTGTCTACTTCGGAGAAAGATAATGTTGATAAACAAACTGTGGAAAATTGTGAAAAAAAACAAGCAGAACCTGTTTCCCCAGTTTTGAAAAGAATTAAGCGCTGTCTACGCTCAGAGGCACCCAACAGTTCAGAGGAAGACTTGCCTGCTAAACCAGAGAAGGAACCATTGGAGCATAAAAGCTTAGTGTCGGACAATGATGCAGTCTCCACAGGGACTAAGCGAGCTTGTCGATGTCTTATATTGGATGATTGTGACAAAAGGGAGGTTAAAAAGGTGAATGTCTGTGCAGAAGGATTTGGTAATTCTGCAATAGTTGACGAGATCGCAGGCTATCAGACTGTCAATGGAGTTGGTGAGAGAGACTCACATTCTCTTAACTGTGATGACTGTCAGCTTGATGGGAACACTAAGCAAAACAGTGCTGGTTCCTGCATGCCCAAGGACAAAACAGTAGCAGAAAACGGAAACTCGTTTGCCCATTCTTCGTTGTTGCTTAGTGGCAGCAAGGAGGGCAGTGTTGTAGACCATTATGTGCCTTGCACAAACTCTCAAGAACAGGTAAAGTTAGAGGACCACAAAATAATACATGACTGCTTGCCTGAGGAGCATGCTACTCAGGCATATGAGCCAGCTACAGGGTCCTTTTCTGAAATCCAGTCATCTTTGCTAAGGGATTCGGAGGAGGAGGTAGATGTTGTAGGAGATAGTAGTGCCTCTAAGGAACAGTGTGCTGAAAACACCAATAGCAGCCCGAATGCTCGTCACGACAGTGCATCGATCTCAGGTGAACCTGAACCACATTCTTCAGTGCTGGACTGTGTTTCAGCTCAAATGACATCTATGTCGGAACTCCAAGAACACAGATATACACTGAGAACTTCACCACGAAGGGCTGCCCCTGCCAGAAGTAGCCCTACTAAAAATAACTCTCCTTGTAGAGAAAACGGACAGGTTGAGGAAAATAATGTTAGTCCCACTGAAAAGAATGTACCTGTAGGTATTAATAGTATCAATGGATCTCCCAAAAAGTCTGAAGAAAGTAAACAGAGTGAAAAAGAGAGAAATGGTAATACAGGAGATCTTGGGAGTGACGGACTAAGAAAGCCACTTTCTGAGGCTAGGCTTGTTGCTGGATATGTACCATCTGCCAAAGAGAGTGCCAACATCCACACTGCAGAGGATGATGAGGAAGAGCCTGATGTGTATTACTTTGAATCAGATCATGTGGCATTGAAACACAACAAAGAGTATGTGTAACTATGGTAACCATGAATTCTGCTTTTGTTTCTTACCAAAAATATATAAATTAATACGTATTTAAAGTACTTTCACAAACATTTAAGTGCTTTATAATTTTCATACTCTTCAGTCTTCATTTTTCTTCCTTGTTTCTACCTCAAACAAAATTAAACTCTATTTAATATGCAGTATGGTACAGCAATGTGGTTTATACATTTCTAGCAATAGGAATTCTTTAGCCAGCAGTTGTTGGGTTTGATTTTTTTCTAAATACACATCTGTTATCGCTTTTCTCTAAAAAAACTAGCTGGAAACAAAATTGAAGGAATTCTAATCCTCTGTTAGAGTTCAGTTATTTGTCAGCATATCCAACAGGCACAGCACGTACAGCTTACGAAATGATCGTTCTGCTGTACGTGGAATTTAAGGTTAGCTACCTATTCTCAGAGGTCCTGGGAAAGACTTCTTTTTGGTGTTAAGGAAGTGGATCAAATGCAGCAATTTGAGACCTTTCTCCAGAGTACATTATATCTACATTGCTGTTTGTATTCATTAAATGTAAAGATATACATGTTCTAATTATTATTGGAAATGAGCACTGACCATTTTTTTGTTTATCATCTGAATGTGAGTAGACCTGTGTAATTGTACAGTTGTGGTAACGGCGAAAGAGGTTCTTGACACAAAAGGGCCGTTTGCTCAGTGAGGAAAGCTTGCATTCAGAAAGTCTGTCAGACGATAGATCGGGCACAGTTTTTATTGCAAGGTCTTTGCAGCGCTGTTCTGACTCCTGCCTTCTGCCGTTTGGTAGATGTTCTACGTTTTGTCGCGAGTGCTGAAGGGCCGAGTGCAGGTGATCTTTGCTTTGCTTCACGTGAAAGTTAAAGTGCTGCGAGCCGTTCGTGTAAATGGTCACAGCACAGTCATTGTGCATAGATGATTGTTTAATCCAGCAGAAGTTTGACTGGCTTTTTTGGGTATTGGAGTTGCACTGTTTTTATAATGAAACTGTGTTCAGTATTAGATATCAATAAATAAATTTAGTCAGAGAAAATTGTGAATTAGAGCATGGTTCAGACAAACTGTGATTTCAAAATAACGATCAAATATCCGTGGCTTCAGCCACCAGCCCAAAGGGTACGGACACCTCCTGGTAGGTAGAGAGAAGATTGCTCTTGCCTAAATTCTAGATGGGAAAAACGGATTGTTGTCTTGGCGGTTTTGGATGTTCTTGTCCCTGTATGTGTAGGATGACTTCACTAGTTGTGCTAGCACAAAGATACATTAGTAATATGTCTTGGGTTTTTTTGTGTTTATTAGGAAAAGAATGATAAGAATCGTGCCAGATTTTTGAATGTAGCCTCAACTTTTACTCTTTCAAATTAAATGTGTCTGAAATGCACAGTTTTTAAAAGTCTAAATCTGCAATTGAATGTAAATACTGTAAAAAGAACAGTATTTTTTTCTGTTCTTAAAATTAAACACAGATCTAAATTGTTCTTGAGAAATTTCAGGAAGGTGCCCTAGTGTTACCTTTGCATACACACGGTTGCCATGAAGATGAGACTGGTGGTTGTTCAGGTTGGTGAGAGCTGGTTGGGGTGCTTTGGGAAGTGCAACTAGGACTTGGTAGCTTGCTACTAACTTGCTGCCTGAATGCAGAATTCCAAAGGAAATTGCTGTTGTTTTTTATCCTGTCTTCTATTTTGCTGGGTTTTGATGGCAAAAAAAAATCGGAGCTAGAATTCTCTTCTAGATCAAGTAAGAATAATTTCCGCTTTTCAGAAGGGAAGTGTGCTACTGGAGGTAGTGCAGGCTGGGTCAATTTGGTTTTCCCTTTGAAAAATGTTGATACAGTCAGGAAATTATGGGCAGTCTTTTTTTGTTGTTGTTGTTTATATTTGCAAGTAAATAAATCTAGTATTCTGGTGGTTCCTCATGGTAATAGGATCCTTCTAAAGAACTTAAGTCTGTATTTTGGTACTTGAGTGCAGGTGTCCTTTATCCAGAACTTTGTAGTTCAAGAGTTAATCAAACATGATGCACTACGTCCTTTTCCACAGTTTAGAAATGCCAGAGTTCATGGGAGGATACTCCTAGTTCACGTGTTACAGTTCTGGAATAGTGTCTTAACTACACCCTTGTTTAATCTCATTTGGTGCTTATTTTCTAACCTGTTAAACTAAAAAAAAAAAGAAAGGTTTTAGCAGCGATGCTTTCCCTGATCAGTTGGAAGTGAAGAATTCCAGGGCTGCCATGCTGCCGGGTGAAGGCTGTCCGCTTTGCCTGTGATGCTTCTGGCTGAGCCAAGTGTGCTGGTCTTCGCTGCTTGGGTCCTTGGGTGGTACCCGGCTTCGGGCCTCTGTCCTCCTTCGGTTTGCCATTAAACTAGTCTGTGTGGGTGGTTTTTTCCTCCCGTTTATATTTCTGTTCTCCTTTAAAAGCAAATTCATAGAATCGTAGAATGGGTTGGGTTGGAGAGACATTAGCATCTTGGCTAGGCTGAGGAGGCAGATTTCTCCAAGACAACTTTAATATCATTCTTTGGGTGATCCACAGCGGGGGAAAAAAGCTGTGTTCCTCTGTGTGGTGGGAGCCATTTGGTGGGTCTGTGAAGGTGTGCGATGCCTTGTCACGTTCCAGGGCTTGATGGCATACACGTTCATACAGCTGATTTTCACTCTCCAAGAGATTATTGTAATGTTGATAAAATACGGGTGTACCGAAACCTTCAACAGCTGTTGGTAAGACTTGCTATAAGAAAAACAACTGAATGTATATTGTGGGATTTTTATATGACTTTTGTTGCTTGCTGAATATTGTGATGTTAAACAACATTCATATATTAATATTTCTGGGAAAAAATGATGTTATAATAGCAAAAATAATCATCACAGAAGCAAATGTTGGAATATTTATCATTCAGAGAGAAGGCTGAAACGATGCATGTTCTTAATAAAATAGATCTGTCCTACAAAGACAGAGCTGAGATTTCTGAGCAGAAGTTTTGTCACCACGTAGACATTCATGTAGATAAAACCAGAGTGATCTAGGGGGTTGTATAACTGCAAAGTAGTGTTAATGTTAATTTTTCTGTTACTACACACGCAATTTGAATTTCTGTGTGTTGTGATTCCTCTCAGAAAAATATGGTTTGATGCATATTTGAGAAATCTGCTTGTATGTTCTGACTTGGGAACCTTTGCATTTTCTCTTGAGATATTTTCATCAAAACTGAGCTTGTGGATTGCAGTCTTTTTACACCACTTAATTTTATATGCTGGGCTTAGTGGTTTGCATATGTCTTTCCTCAGGAGTTTCTTCTGTCTCTCTGCTGTATCTTTTTGTAGTTTAATTCTTTCTTACAGTGCAGTAGCTTATTTTAATTTTCTGTCTTATGCAATATTTTATACTCATTACATTTTCCGCTTTGCCCAGTGTTGCATTTTCTGCCCTTATTTCTTTTTTTTTCTTCTTCCTCTCTGCTCTCTCTGGGGATTTGCAATGTTTGGCAGGTATGAGGTTGCATGAGGGAAAATTTTTGTTTTAACACTGAGCTCTGAGTTCTAGATGAAGATATAATTGGGGAATTGAGTTTTGCTGTGCATATAATGCATTATAAGTGTATTTCTAGGATCCTATAAACTGTGGTTAGCTTTATAGGGACCACTTAGGCCCATAGGTAAGCTGGCTGAAACAGAAGGACAATGCCTGAGCACTTGCCTACAGGCCTGCGGTTGCAAGAGTTAGGACCTTGTGTTTGTTCAGTAAATAGATATTTTCATATATCTTTGGTTTCATTTAATACATTACAATTTTTGAAGTCATAATAGCTGTGCTGACATTTAAACTGAAGACAGATTAAAATGAGGTACTTCAGTACATCTCTTAAAACCCAGTCTTGTGAATTCTTACCTACGGTGGGTTGTGTTGTTGCAGAGGCCTGGGAAAGAGAGAGCACTGTGAGGGACTGTACAGTCAGGTTTAATAAATAATTGACAGTTCACAGCAATACTGCCAGTGTCTTTGGGCGCACTGCTAGTGTTACGTGAGCGTGAGAAAGAGAAGAAACATCCGTGGCATTTCCTGTGGTGCAGGTTTTGTGTTTACTCGGTGACAAATGTTTCTGCCCGATGCATCGGATTAAATCGGCTCCCTGTAGAAGTTCACCTTACTGCATGTGACTTGTTAGAGTAGGGTCTGCTGCACCTTCCTGTACCAATTATTTGGGAACTTCCTTGAACAGAATCTTCTTAAAGCGCAACTCTACCGTAATCCTGTAGCAGTCTTTTTCACTAAGGTGAACTTCTGATTTTACCTGCACCGTGTTTTTCCCTTAACTGGGTGACAATCAGTATTAAAAATTAAACTACTTTTTATTAGTATATTTTAAGATAAAATCTCTATAGCTGTCTTCGTATATATTGGGTAAGAATAAAAATATGTCATCGATTTTGTAATTTATCCCTGTATAATCAGATATATGTCTTGGAGTTAAGGTCAAATTTATCACACAGTATGGATTTATTTTAATGTGCAGATAAACCAGATAATCTAACATTCCATTGTAGTGATGTCATGTAGCTATGAGTAGACAATGCTATAGAAAAAAATATCCTCCTGTATTATTTTTAAGGACACCTTTGTCTCATTTTGCTGTGAGACATACAATCTTAGCCTGAGGAGATTTCCGTTGTTATGTTGTTTCATTTTAAGGGAATTGGTATAAATCAGGCAAATCAAGTTACCTTTTGTGGTAGCAGTTTTGATCCACACTGGGGTCAAGTATGTTAGGAGAGGGCAACTATTTTGTGAACATGTAAGCTCAGAGTCCTTTATAGAACATACAGAAGAAGTGGTGAAGTACACATTCTGAGCCTTGAAGAATAATAGCAGTTAGTAATTTTTTTTAAAAAGCATATATGCCATGTATATTAGATTATGATGTGTTTTAGTTCATCCTTAGTTCCACACAGGAGTGGTGTGGCAATCAGTGATATTTTTCTTA